TGATGATAGTGATAATGATGATAATGATTATAATGGTGATGATAATGATGATAATGATGATGATACTGAGGATGATCATGATAATAATAATAATGATAATGATGATAATTATAATGATGATGGTGATGGTGATGTTGATAATGATGATAATCATGATGATTATTATATTGATTATAATGATAATGATGATAATGACGATGATGGTAGTGATAATGATGATAATAATTATGATAATGATGATAATAATTATGATAATGATTATAATGGTGATGATGATAATGATAATGATAATGAAGATGCCAACGAGATCCATGTTGTCCTCATTATAATGGTATTTAATAATAACAGTAATGAAAATAATAATTAATAATGATGATAATTAATAATGATATTAATTGATAATGATAACAGTTAATAATGATAATAATAGTAATATTAATAATGACAATGACGATAATACAAATAATAACAATATCATTAATACTGATATTAATAAGAATTATAATAACAATTACAACAGTAGTAATAGTGGTAACGATAATGATAAAATAGAAATAATAGTAATAATAACATTAGCATTAATGATGATACTTGATTATGATAACGATGATGACGATGACGATAGTGATGAAGAAGACGACGGTGATGATGATAATGGTGATGACGATGATGATGATGATGATGATGATGATGATGATGATGATGATGATAATGATAATGATGATGATGATGATAATGATAATGATGATGATGATGATGATGATGATGATGATAGTAATAATAATAATAACATTAAGATAACAATGACGCAACACCAACAATAATGAATAACAACAATCATCATTACCGCTATCACCCTTATCACCACCCTCATCATCACCACCTTTACTCGCACAACAATAATAAAGAGTAACACCAGACTATAACACCGGCCACTCACCATCAGGTACTGCCAGGCGGTGGCCAGACGGGCGTCGCTGCTTCCGTACCTCCTGCGGGCGTAGTCAGCGGCCCTGGAAGCACAGGTGGGAAGGATGAAGGGCGTAGATAGACTGATAAAGAGGCAGGGGAGAGATGCAAGGGTGGCAGCCTTTTGTGCGTGTGTAAGTGCGTATGAATAGGATTGGGCGAGGGAGGGGAGGAGGGAGAGGGGGAAGTAGGGAGGGAAGGAGGGAGAGGGGGACAGAAGGAGGGAGGGAGGGAGAGCGACAGAGACAATATAGAGCCAAGAGAGAGCGATAGAGCCAAGAGAGAGCCACGGGGCCAAGGGAGAGCCACGGGGCCAAGGGAGAGCCGCAGGGCCAAGAGAGAGCCACAGGGCCAAGGGAGAGCCACAAGGCCAAGAGAGAGCCGCAGGGCCAAGAAAGAGCCACAGAGCTAAGGCGTTACAGAGCCGAGGAAAATCCCCCGGCCTCCTTCGCTGTCCATTAGCACACAGCTCCGCAGAGAATATTAAGAAGTCGTGCGAGTATATTAATGAATAATTAATGCGTAATTTGCACAATTCTCCCAGCATAACGACGGAAACCGGATATGCATCAATCTAAACATCAATAGCTAGTGGCCTCGCGTACATATAACACCTCCCCCTTCCCTCTCTCCCTCCCTCCCTCCACCCCGCTGTAATTTTGCTCAGAAGCATTGATGAGCAAAACATTAAGAATTCTAACTCGGCTTACAAGTTCCCGCCTGGCTCTCGTCGCCCCTTTCTTCTCTTGTCTTTTCCTTCCCTCTAAAAGCATCTTTGGAGCTGAATTAATGTGGAAGAGGAACCTGTGTTTGTACTTTGTGTGTGTGTGGGGGGGGGGAAGAGCTGTGTACTGTTGCCTGATTATTATCATTATTACTAATTTTCTTGGTTCGTTTAGTTTCCTTCTTTCGTTGTGAGAACTTTCCCTATTTATATTTTCCATTATTAGTTGTTGTTTTTTCTGGTGTGCGTCTGTTTGTCATTTTTCTCTCTCTCTATCTATCTATCTATCTATCTATCTATCTATCTATCTTTCTTTCTTTCTTTCTTTATATATGTATATAGATCTCTCTCTCTATCTATCTATCTATCTATCTATCTATCTCTCAATCGAGCTTTTGCCATTTTGACTTTCTCAATTAATTTCTCTTGCTATTCCGATATTCCTCTCCCTCCCTTTCTCTCTTTCTCGTTCTTCCTCCCTCTTCCTCCCTATTACTCCCTCTTCCTTCCTCTTCCTCCCTCTTCCTCCCTCTCTCCCTCTTCCTCTTCCTCCCACTCTCCCTCTCCTTCTTCCTCCCTCTTCCTCCCTCTTCCTCCCTCTTCCTCCCTCTTCCTCCCTCTTCCTCCCTCTCTCTCTTCCTCCCCATCAGTTCCTCCCACTCACCACTGCGTGACGTTGGGCGCCTGCTGCCTCCAGCCCATCTCGTTCATGAAGTCGTACATCACGTAGTTCTGGTTGATGCCCTCCGGCGTGAGTCCCGTGCCCACCATCGTGACGTTGGGGAACGCCCGCGCCTCCTGCAGGTT